AAAAAAAAAAAAAAAAAAAAAAAAAAAAAAAAAAAAAAAAAACCTTTATTTTTCTTTATTCTTATGAGCTACAATAATTTAAGAAAGTGGCCAAATTGATTAATGAGGTGGGATTTGTTACATTCTAGAACAATGGGTAGCTTTATTTATTTGAAAATAAATAAAAGACATTCATAATTTATGTCCCAAAAAAATGTCAAGTTGAAAATAATAACTATTTTATGTATAAGAGAATTGTGTATGTAGAAGAGAAAATAGAAATTTTGAATTAATAACGTTTAACTTAACCCTTGCCTTAATTAAGCCCGGTAGGGGTTGTTTTATTACATCATATCATTCAAACCCACGTAAATCAAATGAGTATTATTATAGAATAATAATGATAAGATTAAACTATACCAATATCCTTTAGGGTAAGCCTCATGGCATCCATTATTGCATCATGTGTGAGACTAAGCCTTCTCCTTAAATTGAGCTTGGAAGCTTGGTAGTAATATCTATCTTTTTGTTGGGTTACAATTTGAGTAGTAACTCAACGCCATGGCTCTCTATGGAAAGTTGGAGACTAATGTAAAAATTAAGGCTTCAGCTCAAAAGTTTCATGAAATACTTCACCAAAGACCTCACCATATATCCAATATCTGTTCAGATAAAATACAAGGTGTCGAGTTACATGAAGGTGAATGGGGCAAAGCTGGCACTATTCTCGATTGGCGCTATGTTCTTGGTTTGTTCATTTATGTATATGAATCTCCTTTTTTTTCTTTTTTTCTTTATTGGTTAAAAGTATATATAGTTCTCAAACTTTTAAATTTATTGGGGTAATGGATGACTTAACTTCTAATTTTATGCCGTTTATTCAACATTTTTTTGAAATCAATATTACATCGACATCTTATTTAATGAACGTTTTGTGGATTAAACCTTTTAGATGGAAAGGTTCATAAGGCAAAGAAGGTAATCGAAGATGTTGATGAGGAGAAGAATTCATTCACATGGAAACTGGTGGAGGGAGACCTTTTAGAGCTCTACAATAACCTCAAAATTAAAGTCCAATGTATCCCAAAGGATGAGGGAAGTGTAATTCACTATACTTTGGAATATGAAAAGCTGCATGAAGGAATTCCAGATTCACATAGTTTGCTTCAGCTTTGTGCTGAGGTCACCAAAGACATTGAGGCTCACCTTGTGGGAAACAATAATGATGTTTGAGCTGGCATGGTGCTATTACTATATTGTGGAATGATAATTGGCTATTACCTTATATGTTGCTAATAACATTATACTTAAATAATGCCGTGATTAACGCCTGTTGTATGGCGTCACGAGTGAGAAAATAATGTGGAGAAGTATTATAATATGAATGTTTATATGCTTATAATAAAATGGGTATCAAATTTGTGAGAAACGTGCCTTGGTACAATAATCGTTAATATTGTGTACTATGTTTGAGCATGCCTTTTTTATGGATGACTTACTCGTCTACATAAAAGTTTTTTATCTTGTTCTGATATCATAACTTAAAAAGATTAGTTTATTTTGATGGTTCGAATTTCTGAATTTTTAATTTAAAGTTGTTTTTGTTTTGGTTCTAACCGATATATCACATATGCTTAAATTCCCCAAATCAAAATGATTTCATTCTAAATAATTAAAATTCTTACGGGTCAAGCCACTGAGTCGTTAAGCCAAATTGTTGAGCTTTCAAACAAAGCTGAGAGTACAATACCGAGCCGATAACTGAGTTGAGTCATTGAGTCGTCAAGCAATACTCTAAGATTCTCTTTGCATGCATGCTACAATAATTACCCTAGGTGGATAGTTTTACCATGAAATGAACTTAGGTGATTAGAGAATTAGGAATATGGAAGCATCATTATTGTGAAATTTGATTTAAGATAAAAAGTTAGTTATGCAATATATTTTAGATAGACGTTATGATTTTTTGGATTTGGTTGGTGGTATATTTTATCTTATTTTCAGTATTTGGTTAGTATTATATTTTCTCTAGTGGATAGCTTGTATCCTATTTAAAGATTGGGAACATTAATAAATATGGACTTTCAATCTTACTTCAGTTTCTCATTCTTAACAATGATGTATAGAATGCTTGTATGTTTTATGGTTCTGCTGCATATATGTGTTTAATTCATGCTAAAAGGAGGATGAGGATTTGTGATCTGAGCTCCATATGCTTGATAGATGTTATCGCCCCGTTGAGCATATATGTTTATTTTGCATGGATTATGTATCATGATTCTTGATAGTTATTGTGGGTACACAGAGTTAATTCTAATGAACTAGAATCATAGGTTAGATTAGGGACTTGTGGTTAGGTTGACTATTTACCTGATTTAGACTTGACCTTTCTCTTAAGAGCCTAAAAGACGACCATGGCTTACAAACTACCCTAAGAGTTGTTCTTAGGCTACAAGATGTGTGACGATGTCAACAGCTTTGTGGGGGAACAGGGGTTTCTGATCAAAATCGTATTGAACCTTGTTGTTTCGCATGGGAAACGATAGACTCAAGTCGTACAGCCCATTAGTTACATGGAATAAGGGAGGGGTTGCACCCCCAATGAGGGTGACTTTATGGACCAAGGAGGTTTCAACTCACTTCCCAAGTAAGAGACCATATAATCTCATAAAACTATGCATGAGGTAGTGCCTCGTAGAGGAACACCGGTCATGGGAGACCATATAGTCTCATAAAACTATGCATGAGGTAGTGCCTCGTAGAGGAACACCAGTCATTCACAGTTCGGCATAAGGAACTCTCAGGGTTTAAAATAAAAAGACTTAGACCAGAATAGCCCCAAGGGAATAAGACTAGAATCGGACATCTAGAGCCAATGAGAAGCCTGTGGGAATTTGTTACCGTCTAGAACGTGATGAGAGCCTACGAGTAGATAGCTTATTAATTATAACTTTTATATTCATCCTTGTTTTCCTTTTCTTTCCAAATGTTTGCAGGCTGTCAGTCGAAGTGGAGCAGCGTTCCAGAGCTGTACAACCATTTTTACATTTTTTTTCTATATTTGTATAATCCCTTTATAATATTTTATATAATAGACTCCTTTTTTTTTCTTTTCTTTTCTTTTCTTTTATTTTTATTGGATTATTGTCTTTTATTCTTCTTTTCTTTTATTTTTATTTGTTTTCACTTTGTCATTTTAGTCATGTCGGATTTTTCAAAGCCTCGAAAATTGGATCATAACATTGAGTCTGCAAAATCGACAGCCTGCCAGAAATCTTCAGATTTCAAACGAGATTCGATTTTTTTTTTTTTTTTTATAGATCATAATTTCTGAATAATTACGACTATCAAAATAATTAAATATATTATTGATCCATAATTCACAATGACATAATTAAACCGTATTATATCATAACAATTATTTCCCTCTAATTTAATTAGAATTGCAAAATTCAAAGTAGAAAAAAAAAAATGTAAGATAACACTCTTAATGGGATCCATTACAAGAGATGCATAATTATGTCAAAAAAAAAAAAAAAAAAAAAATCCCTCCCCATCATTCACATTCAAGAAAATCTAAAATAGGTCATTCACATAGAATTATTAATTCGATGTAAAACACTTTTTACTATATAGTTTTTATAATTGAGTCATCGAAAAAGAAGTTATACTTTTTTATTATAGATAGTGATTTTCAGTATGTTTAAGCATTTCTTAGCTACTATTTAAAAAAACGCTCTCATTGGGATGTAGTCTCGATTCATTTATGTATCCCTAATTTATTTAGATTGCCAAGTAAAAATGTATTAAGTCATGTCTAGGTAGAATTGTTACATTATACATTCATGAAATCTTTGAAATAAGAACAAAAATATAATTTTTTAAAAATCAATAATGCAAGTTAAGAGAATTATGTACCAAATAGTTTGAACTAATAATGTATAACCTACTACATTATAACCTTAGCCTTAATGAAGTCTTAAAGTAATTGTTTAATTATATCATATCGTTCATACCCACATAATTAAATTATTATTACACCATAATAATAATAATAAAATTAAATTATACAAAATACCTCATTGGATACGTTTAAACTATATGCATTTATGTACGTTGAAATTTTCATTTTAACTCGAAGATTTTGAAATTGTTCAAAAAATACAATCACCGATCTTGAATAAAAATTGACACGAGAATTGATGTATAAATATTAAAACATATATATTTCATCATTTACAATATCATTCAAGGTAAATATTTATTTTATGATTACCCTATATTCTAAATTGAAGTGGATGATCTTTTATCTTTTCTAAATTACATCACGTGGGAGAATAAGCCCTCTCTTAAAATTGAGTTGAGGAGAGAAGCTTGGTAGCAATATGTAACGCAGCTTGTTCTTTCAAGTAACTCAACGTCATGGCTCTCTATGGAAAGTTGGAGACTGATGTAGAAATTAAGGCTTCGGCTCAAAAGTTTCATGAAATAAATCATAAAAAACCTCACCATATATCCAAAGCCTCTTCAGATAAAGTACAAGGGTGTGAATTACACGAAGGCGAATGGGGCAAAGTTGGCAGTATCCTCTATTGGCACAACGTTTATGGTTAGTTCATGAATCTCCTTTTTTTTTTTATTGGTTAAATTATCAATTTTGTATATTTGATTATGAAGTTTCAAAATTATTTTGTTTTTTAAGTATAGATTCACAAAGTTCTAAAACCATTTGATTTGTTGTGTTTTTAAAAAAATATGAAAAGCTTACCAAAAATTTGTGAGAAACTCGGTATAAATTATAATCGATAGTTTTTAATTTTGTGTGGATATATTCTAAATTTTTTAAGAAAACTATTGTTAGAGACAACGACTTTCCATCGTCCAATTTTGAAAATAAGTCTTGTTGATTTAATTTCATAAAAAAAATAAAAAATAAAAACTTTCAAAAATTGTTCGCTTATAGGATGATCTCAATATATGTAAAATTAAATTTTATGTCTAATGGAAGATAAATTTTCAATTTACGTTTTTGTAGCTAAATAGTAAATTTGAAAAATATTGGATAGGTGAAGAACCTATTAAACTGTAATCGTTTCAAACCGACCGCTAATAGATATTGTCTATTTTGGTCCTTTATGTATTGTTGTCAATCTTACGGTTTTAAAACGTGTCTATTAAGAAGAGGTTTCCACACCCTTCTAAAAAAATGTTTCGTTCCCCTCTCTAACCGATGTGTGTTCTCACAATCCACCCTCCTTGGGGGCCAGCGTCCTTGCTGGTATATTGACTGATGTTTGGCTTTGATACCATTTGTAACAACTTAAGTCCACTGTTATAAAATATTGTTCGCTTTCGCTTGTTACGAATGGTATCAGAGTCGGTCACTCGACGGTGCAAGGCATTGGTCGGAGTAGGACTAGACTCTCTCTATAATAGACGCATTTTAAAATCATGAGGCTAACAACGATACTTAACGAGCCAAAGCGAACAATATGTTCTAGCGGTGGGTTTGGACTTTACATAAATACACAAAATTAAACATTCAGATATCTACCATAGCCACATAATTAAAAGTTCAAGAATCTATTAAATATTTTTTAAAGTTGAAGATTTATTAGATACGAAATTGAAATTTTTTTAACATATTAAACACTCATGAAACTCAAATGAATATTACATAGATGGGAAGGATCATGTGACAAAGAGCGTAACCGAAGATGTCGATGAGGAGAACAATTCATTCACCTGGACAATGTTGGAGGGAGACCTTGAGAAGTCCTACAAGAGCTTCAAGATGAAAATCCAATGTATCCCAAAGGATAAGGGAAGTGTAATTCGCTATACTTTGGAATATGAAAAGCTGCATGAAGGAATTCCAGATCCACACACTTTTCTTCAGCTTTGTGTTGATGTCGCCAAAGACATTGATGCTTACCTTATGGGAGACAATAATGAAGGTTCATTTATAGCCAAGGCATGAGCAACAAACCACCCATAGCTCTTGGGTGGGCTATTACTATGGAATGGAATAATAATTGGCTATTACTATGTTTGCTAATTAGTGTTTTATACTTAAATAAACATATCATGCCGTGATTTAGCCTGTTCTATGTCACGGTCACTGTAATATAGATCTTTATATGGTTCTGATGGGTCTCGACCATGCCACTCATATTTTATTTGAAAATGAAGAATAATATGAATTAATATAAAAAAAAAATTAGTAAATCATCTACTTGTAAGTTCTTAATTTTTTTTTAAGTCTCATGTCAATCATGATCAACCACTTCCTAAAGATTCTCACGAATTTGAGGAATAGAAGCTGGAGCTAGTACATGTAGTAACTCTTGGCTTTCCATAAAACTTTTATCCTTCAACACTTGTTTTTGCTTTAAATTGACCTCAAAACTTGGTTTAAACCCTCGAAATCTTATGTTTTACTGACATTTAGAAAAGAACTAGTTGGGATTCATTGTAGGCTCTTATCCACTTATTATTGTTGTCGTACTTTCATACGACTAATAACCGTCTATTTTTTTTTTTAACTACAAATTCTTCCCAATAAAAAACTTTTGTTCTCGAAAGTTCTTAGTTCTGAAACAATTTGAGGTAACCGGTCTTTATCTCAATTTTAGGCAACTTTCTCAGTTCCGTGATTTCTCTATAATACTTTGACCGAGGTGATTTTCTTGTTACATAATGTCTTCACTGGCAAAATTTCGGTCGTTTCACAAAACTCTTATGTTCCCTTAAGGGCAGTGGTTCATAATCAATAACGTAGGAGAGATATCATGTTGTGACTCTATTTTTCTATTAAAAATAAGGTATTTATTGCATGCATGACATGTGTACTATGTGCGAAAAAATTCATTTAAAATATTTCATAAACAATGCTATGGACTTATACATTTATAATAAATTCAAAAATAATTAGGCAAAAAAAATAGCGTGAATTTAAATAAAATAAAGAAAAATAAAGTAATGCCCTGGTCTAACCCGAGGGCCACAAAAGCAATGTGAGTGTATTTACCCTAGCTTCAGTCTCATGGTTGTTATCACGACATCATCAACTATACAAGAGTGCTTGAAACGGAAGAGTAGCATGTGGCTTGAGTGCTTTAAAAAATACTAAGTAATCCTACTGTTGGGGTCAGAAAATGTGATCATATGTAATAGGGTGAGACCTATCATTTCATAAAAACATCATGTATGGCCTTGGACTCCGCTTTCCAGTCCAAAAAAGGTTGGATGTGACACCCAAATAAAGGAGGGGTACATAAATGAACCGAGATTGCATCTGAATGAGAGAGATCATGATGATAGGATAACCAAGTTAGGCTTAAAGGAAATGAAAGTCCTACTCATACCAACAAGGTGCATCTTTATTTTCTCGGACTCAATCATAAGAACTTCATGTTAATCGTCCTTTACTTGGTAGCAATTTTATATTCGGTGATTTCCTATGAATTTTCTTAGAATACATGTCAGTAAAGACAAAGCATGCTTGAAGGACTCGTGTTGGCTTGTGGGGATAGTTCACTCTTAAAAGCGGTTACCAGAATTTTTGCGTCCTTCAGCGACTAACGCGATTATTTTTTTTTAATAATGGAACGTTACCCAAACAATGGCTATACTCACCTCAATTGCATGTGATAACTTTAAAAAAATAGTTATAGAATGATCCAAAAAGGTTAGAGTCATATGGTTTGGATTAGGTCATGGATTGGGTCGTGGGTTAGGTCACTAGATTGGGTTGGTGCAGGTCTAGAAGTTGGGTCATTGGCAACCGGGGCTATGGGAATGGAAGTCGTTAAGTGCAAGAATGAATACCTTTTTTTATTATTATTATTGTTATCATTCTTATGCACTACAATAATTTAAGAAGTGACCAGATTGATTAGGAAACATTATTGATGAGGTGGGATTTGTTACATGAACAATGGGTAGCTTTATTTATTAGAAAATAAATAAAATACATTCATAATTATGTAAAAAAAAAGAATCATTTTGAAAGAGAGTTGAAAAGCAAAATTAAGCGATAGGACTATAAGAAGAGAAAAAAACATCACAGCTTAAAATATCATATAACTCGAGTAGGAGAATTTGACAACTAGTCGCATCTCCTTAGAGTACATTTTGGGATGATTTAGGTCTGATAAGTCTAGACGTGATTTGTTGAACGGTTATACAAAATTTAGGTGGGAGGAGTTTACGACTGTCGCATCCCCCTATAATACATTTTGGGGCGATTCAGGTCTGGCAGACTTAGACATAATTTCATTGAATAGTCATACAAATAGAAAATACAATAGTAATGTAATACAATATGAAAACAAATAAAGAGTTTGGCGTGACATGGACATACAGCCACGGACAACACACCCTAGACGAGCATGACCGTGACACTCAACAATCTCAAATATTTTGATAATTTAATTTATAAATCTATGGGGTCTTCAAAGTCAAAGAAACTAGAAAATTTGAGTTAATAACGTTTAACCTAACCCCTACCTTCATTAAGGTTTGTAGTGGTTGTTTTATTACATCATATCATTCAAACCCACGTAATCAAATAAGTATTATTATAGAATAATAATGATAAGATTAAACTATACCAATATCTTTTAGAGTAACCCTTATGGCATCCATTATTGCATCACGTGTGTGCGAGACTAGGCTCTCTCTTTAAATTGAGCTTAGTAGTGGAGAGATGCTCAATTGGTAGCAATATCAATCTTTATCTTTGTAACTTGCTCTTCGAAGTAACTCAATCTCATGGCTCTCTATGGAAAGTTGGAGATCGATGTTGAAATTAGGGCTTCAGCGAAAAAGTTTCACGAAATAATTCATCAAAAACCTCACCATATATCTAAAGTCTCTTCAGATAAAATACAAGGCTGCGAATTACATGAAGATGAATGGGGCAAACTTGACACTATACTCTATTGGCACTACGTGCATGGTTAGTTTATTTATATTTTTTCTGTCTATGAATCTCTCTTTTTTATTGGTTAAATTATCTCAATTTTATATATTTAAATATTTGATTCATGAACTTTTCAAATTATTTTGTTTTAATTTGGTGTGGATTAAGATATTCTAAATTTTTTAAGAAAACTAAATGATAGAGAAGGTATATCTATAACATTACCACTTTTAGAACAAAACAACAAGTTTTGTTGATTTAGTTTTTAGTTTCATAAAAATAATGTCTCATTTGTAAAATTTTGTTTACGTTCTCAATATATATAAAATTAAATTTTATACCTAATTGAACCATAAACTTTATGTTTTATTGTAAAATAGTGAATTTTAACGAACATCAAATAGATCAAGAACCTATTAAACGGTAATAGTCTAAGCCTATCGCTAGCAGATATTGTCTGCTTTGGCACATTACGTATCACCGTCAGTCTCACAATTTTAAAACGCATCTGTTAATGAGAGGTTTTCACACTCTTGTAAGGAATGTTTCTTTTCCCTCTCCAACCAATGTGTGATCTCACAATCCATCTCCTTGGTGGCCCAACATCCTCACGACACACTGCCTGGTGTCTAGCTCTGATATCAATTATAATAACTCAAGCCCAATGCTAGCAGATATTGTCCACTTTGACACGTTATAAATGGCATCAGAGTCGGGCACCGAACAGTGCAAGACACTGGTCGAATTAGGGTTAGACCCTCTCCATATTTTAATATCATGAGATTGACAGCAACACGTAACGGGCCAGAGCGGACAATATTTACTAACAATGATCTTGGCTATTACATAAACATACAAAGCTAATCATTTAGATATCTATTAAAGAGGAAAGTTTAAGAATCAACGTTGCATAGATGGGAAGGATTGTGTGGCGAAGACCATAACCGAAGATGTTGATGAGGAGAACAATTCACTCACTTGGAAAGTGTTGGAGGGAGACCTTGGGAAGTCCTACAAGAGCTTCAAGATGAAGATCCAATGTATCCCAAAGGATAAGGGAAGTGTGATTCGCTATACATTGGAATATGAAAAGCTGCATGAACAAATTCCAGATCCACACACTTTTCTGCAGCTTTGTGCTGGTATCGCCAAAGACATTGATGCTCACCTTATGGGAGACACTAATGAAGGTTCGTTTGTAGGTGCTAAGGCATGAACAACAAGTCTCTCTATCCACCTATTGCCAGGGTGATGCTGTTACAATGCTATGGAATAATTATTGGCTATTACTAAGTTGTTAATGATAGTTCTATACTTAAATAAACATATTATGTCGTGATTTAACGTGTTCTATGCCATCACGATCGAGTTGAATGTTTGTATGCTTTTAATACCGAGACTTGATTTCATGGCCTTCTTAATTGACGTCGTTATTTGGTATTGTAACTTTTACCTTAAAAAAATGTTAAAAGCATGTCAAATATTTAAAAATATTTCGTTACTCCATTGTTGGAATCGAGAATTCAATTACATGCAAAATGGTTCATAGTGAGACCTACTTTTCTTGACTATTCATTGAGTCCTACTTTCTTTTATGGGTATAGTTGGATACAAAGTAGTCTCTGCACATGGTTCATGCTTGCACACATGAATCCACTAAATAACATCGTATACGTATTCCCTAGGCCTGACTACGAGGTAATGAACGCTTACTCTATTGAAAATCAACCGAAAGAAAGAAGTGCATATCATATCATGGTGAACACATCCATATATAACATAATGAAGAAGTAACCTGTGTTTGTGACTCGCGTGAGATCCTACATTTCAAATTATAGTACATGGTCATGAAACACATGATATTTCCGTACATTTCATGATATAATTTCTCTACGATGCATACATACATGTACATTGCATATTATTCATACTTATCGTACCTGGGTCATCAAGTGTCTCATAAGGCATAACGTGAACATCGTATAATAACATATATATAGATCAATATATTAAAAGTACACAGCATCATAAAAAATTTATAAACATATCATAATACATGTAATAACAGGTAGATAAGCCACAAATACGTGTTAATCATACATCATACAATGCGTTTAACCTAGCCTCAAAATACTCCAATAGTAAGCTCATTTCCTTTGTAAAATTTCTGAGTCAATGTTCATTTGATCTTGCTGGTTAAGGCTTAGTTTGAAGCTAACTTAAACCGGTTTTCTCTCTCTTCTCTCCTCTCTTCTTTCGATTTTTTTTTTTTTTTTCTCTTTTTATTCTTTAAATTGGTATTGATTAGAGATAGAAGGAGGAAGATAAGAAGGAGATCGATGAATTAGGATGATGAAAATGATGGGTTTGGGAAGTTATTTATAAAGTAAATGAGCAGATAAAAGGGAAGAAATTGGGGAAAGAGGAGAAAATGAGAAAAGTAAAGATATATTTGTAACATGTAGGTCAAATAATTCATTGACGGCATGTTTCAATTATTCGAGTGTGATACTCGAGTAATGAAATAATATATGAATGAACTGAGACTATATCTAAATGAGAATGATCCCGAGGATAAGGTAGTTAAAAAAAAACTTAAAACAATTGAAAGTTACTACCTATATCAATAAAGTACCATCTTCCTTTATCGATGGCTCGATCATAGAAACTTCATAGTTGTGTATTTAATTTAGATTAATTTTATGTTAGATGACCTTCGAAGAATTTTTCTAAGATGCACGTAAGTGAGGTCAAAACATATTTGAATGACTCGAGTTGGTTTGTGTGGATAGTCTTTACTCTTAAAAAGCAAGTAGATAACATGACCATATCGCAGGAAAATGTTGGAGTTATCAGAGACCGTATCCAAATTCCAAAAACTGATTCGAATCTTGAACATGGATCACTCCACTTTGATACATATGTTAGAGCTTTTGAAAACTTTACTCCAACCGATGAAAATTAATATTCGATTAATGAAGTTGAGATACTATGACATTCAATTATTGTACCAAGACACAAACTTTATTCTATTTTATTAGAAAGCATACAAAGATTATAACATTTCACAACACTTGTCTCCAACTAATGGTGGCATAGAACAAGCTAAATCACAGCATTATTTAAGTATAAAACACTCATTAGAAACATGGTAATTGCCAATTATTATTCCATAGTATAGTAATACCACCACCTTAGCTATGGGTGGCGAGAGAGGTTTGTTGCTCATGCCTTGGCTATAAATGAACTTTCATTATTGTTTCCCATAAGGTAAGCCTCAATGTCTTTGGAGACATCAGCACAAAGCTGAAGCAAACTATGTGAATCTGGAATTCCTTCATGCAGCTTTTCATATTCCAAAGTAAAGTGAATCACACTTCCCTCATCCTTTGGGATAGATTGGACTCTAATTCTGAAGCTCTTGTAGTACTCCAAAAGGTCTCCCTCTAATACTTTCCATGTGAATGAATTGTTCTCCTCGTCAACCGCTTCTATAAGGTCCTTCGCCACAGAAACCTTACCATCTATGTGGGTTTAATCCATAAAACGTTCATTAAATTTAACATTTAAATAAAAAAAAAAAGGTTAAAATCATCTCAACCTTAAAATGTTTGGAAAGAATTAAATCAAATAAACACAAAATTTAAAGTTTAGAGACTGAACTTATAATTTAATCGATAAAAGATAAAAAGGTGGGAAATTGGAAGAGATCGAATGTTAATGAACAACCATGTGCGTAGGTAAAATAGAGAATTGAGTCAACTTTGCCCCATTCGCCTTCATGTAACTCGCAGCTTTGTATTTTATCTGAAGAGGCCTTCGACATATGGTGAGGCTTTTGATGAAGTATTTCATGAAACTTCTCCGCTGAAGCCTTAATTTCTACATCAGTCTCCAACTTTCCGTAGAGAGCCATGAGGTTGAGTTACTTGGAACAACAAGTTACAAAGATAAAAGATAGATATTGCTACCAAGCTTCTTTCCACTACTAAGCTCAATTTAAAGAGAAGGGTTAGTCTCACACATGATGCAATAATGGATGCCATGAGGCTTACGCTAAAGGATATACCACTAATCTTATCATTATTATTCTCTAATAATACTTATTTAATTACGTGGGTTTGAATGATATGATGTAATAAAACAACCACTACAACCCTTAATTAAGGCATGGGTTAGGTTATACATTATTAATTCAAACTTTCTATTTTCTCTTCTTCATACTTAATTATCTTTTAATCTTGCATTATAAAGTTAAAACCCTTTTTTAGTGATATAATGTTAGCTTTTTTGACGTTGAAGAACAGGTAAATTCACAAATTAAATTATCAGAGCGTATGAGATGCTGAATGTAGTTATTAAATTGAGATATTGAAATAGAGTGCAAAGTTTAATGATATTTTTATTAATTTAGCCGTTCACGAATTTTTAATCAAGCTATACCCAACACAATTAAAGAATCTAATTTTGAAAAATTCTCAAATATGTATGAAAAAAAAGGTCTTCAAATATAAATATAAGTCAGTTCGAATGGATCATTATTTTCAAAATGATTTTTTATTTACATAATTATGAATGTATTTTATTTATTTTCTAATAAATAAAGCTACCCATTGTTCTATAATATAACAAATCCCACCTCATCAATAATGTTTTCTAATCAATTTGGTCGCTTCTTAAACTATTGTAATGCATAAGAATAAAGAATGATAACAATAAAAAAAATAGAGGTATTCATTCTCTCTTAATGACTTCCATGTCCATAGCCTAATCGGTTGCCAATGACCTGACTTCTAGACATGTACCAACCCAATCTAGTGACCTAACCCACGACCCAATCCATGACCTAATCCGAATCTTACGACTCTATTTAACCATTTTAGACTATTCTAGAACTGTTTTTTTTTTTTTAGTTATCCGATGCAATTGAAGTGAGTATAGTCATTGTTTCGTCCATTTAGAGTGTGTTAAGCTAAATTAGAGAACTATTTGAGACCCAGAGGTGGACTAAACCCTTTAACATATTCTAAGTAAATACTATGGGCTTGTATAGGTTTACTCGTTCTCCAAAGCTAGTTTTAAATTAGTACCAAGGATAAGATAGTAACTCCAGCTTAGGTTAATTAAGATATTATGCGGGTTCTTTCCCTCCATAATGTTCGATAGTATGAGCATGTGCTAGCCCAATTAGTCATGCTACTCCTTGCTTCCTAAGAGTAGAGACTATTTCTTAGAGTGAAGACTATTCTTCACTTCTAAAGAGTGAAAAATATCTCCACAAACCAACACGAGTCATTCTAACATGCTTTGTCTTCACGCACATGCATCCTACGAAAATTCCTAAGAGTGCCTAGTAAATCACCTAACATAGAATTGCTCCAAGTAAAGCATGCTTAACCATGGAATTCTTACTATTGAGTCATCGAAAAGAAAGGTGTACCTTGTTGATATGAGTAGTATCTTTCATTTCCTTTAACCTTTCTTAGTCATTATATCCTTAGAATCGCTCTAATTCAGATGTAATCTCGGTTCATTTATGTACCCCTCCTTTACACGAGTGTCACATCCAATCTTTTTTGGACTGGAAAGCAGAGTCCAGGGTCATGTCATGATGTTTTTATGAAATGATAGGTTCCACCATATTGCATGTAATCGCATTTTTCGACCCCAACAGTGGGGTTACTTATTGAGTATTTCTTAAAGCACTCAAGTCATTTGCTACTCTTAATTTTCAGATAAAGATAAAGCACTCTTGTGTAGATGATGAGGTCGTGATGACAACCACGAGACCAAAGATAGAGTAAATGCATTCATGTTGCTTTTGTGGTCCTTGAGTTAGATCACGACGTTACTTTATTTTTCTTTATTTTATTAAATTCATGTTAATAATTTTCCGCCTTATTGTTTTAATGAATTTATTATGAAGGTATAAGTCCATGGCATCGTTTCTAAAATCTTTTAAATGAATTTTTCAGCACGTAGTAGACATGTCATGCATGCAATAAATACCTTATTTTTAATAAATAAAAAAAAACATAGAGTAATTACAACCCATCCATCACATGTGAGAGCCTACCATGAATCCCTAACTATTTCCTTCCTAAATGTTAGTAAAACATAAGATTTTGATGGTTTAAACCAAGTTTTGAGGTTAATTTAAAGGATAAACGAGTGTAGTTTTCTCGAAAGCCAAAAAGACAATTTTGTTCTGATTCGAGTTTTTATTCCTCAAATTTGTAAATCTTCATTGAGCAATTGGATATAATTTCTATAATATAGATGGATAACGTGAGACTTAAGAACAAATTTAGAACTTAGAGGTAGATTATTTACTAAATATTTTTATATTCATTCATGTTATTCTTCATTTTCAGATAAAACATGAGTTACATAGTTGAGACAAGTGCATACACGAGCTTGCATGTAATGAATCATATTCCTTCCTACTTTGATACGTACATGGTTAATTTTCAAAGTATTGTGTAATTAAAAATTTATTGAAATGTTTCAAATCCTATATAAGTGAAATGCATGATTTTAAATTATTGAAATTAATGAGTTCATATTGTTTCACATCATTAGTAACGATTTATTCGAGAATTTCAAAAAAAAGGAATGCTCAAACACAATGTACAACATTAACAATTATTACAAACTTTATTCCCATTTTATTAGAAGCATATAAAGATCTATATATATTATAAAGCACGACATAATATGTTTATTTAAGTATAAACTAAGATTATTCCATAATATAGCATAGTAATAGCACCACCCAAGAGCTATGAATGGTTTGTTGGTCATGCCTTGGTTATAAATGAGCCTTCATTATTGTCTCCCATGAGGTAAGCATCAATGTCTTTGGCAATATCAACACAAAACAGCAGAAAAGTATGTGAATCTGGAATTTTTTCATGCAGCTTTTCATATTCCAAAGTAAAGCGAATCACACTTCCCTTATCCTTTGGGATACATTGGATTTTAATTTTGAAGCTCTTGTAGTGCTTTAAATGGTCTCCCTCAACCATATTCCAAGTGAGTGAATTGTTCTCCTCATCGACATCTTCGGTTACACTCTTTGCCACACGATCCTTCTCATCTATGCAATATTGTTTCGAGTTAAAGTGGTTAAATTATAATCCTGGTCTCTTAAATTTAAGTTTATTGGTTAAATTCTTAAATTTTTTATTATGTGTGATTTATTTGATATTTTTAAAAATTTATGATCAAACTACCAAACATAAAATTGAAAATTTAGGGTTTTGGTGTACATAAAATTTAATTTTAAATATGTTGAGACTTAATAAAATTAAGATCTAAGTATGCAATAATTTTTTATTAGTATAAGTCATTTTTTATAAAACTAAAAACTAAATCAACCGACTTATTCCAAAAGTGAACAATGTTATAGAGATACATAGAGGGTCATTGTATCTAACAAAATTTAACGTAGGTCATTTAACTTTCTTAAAAAATTGAGAGATCGTTAATCAACACAAAATTAGACATTCAGAAGCTAATAGATTATAAGTTATATTCGGTTTCTCACAAATATTTTGTAAGCTTCTCATTTTTTTTAAAAAAAAAAACACAAATCGGTTCTAAAACTTCATTTTTAATTTTTAATATTTGGCTTCATTTTTTAAAAATGAGTAGATATGAGTTAAAAAAGAAAAAAAAATATATGAATAGAAATAGTGAATCTATAGCTTAAAAACAAAATAATTTTGAAAGTTGATGGATCAAATACACAAAAATGAGATAATTTAGCCAATAAAAAGGGAGATTCATCGAAAGAATATAAATAAACAAACCATGAGTGTAATGCCAATAGAGGATAGTGCCAACTTTGCCCCATTCACCTTCATGTAACTCGCAGCTTCGTATTTTATTTGAAGAGACATTAGATACACGGTAAAGTTTTCGATTAATTATTTCATGAAACTTTTGAGTTGAAGCCTTAATTTCTACCTCAGTCTCCACCTTTCTATAGAGAGCCATGGGGTTGAGTCACTTGGAAGTTGCTCAAATTGTAACCCAACAACAATAATGATAGATATTGCTACCAAGCATCTCTCCTCTATTAAGCTCATTTTAAAGTGATGGCTTACTCTCACACATGCAATAATGGATGCCGTTTGGTGTAAAGATTTTACATTTTTGTCCTCTCTTATAATTTTTTCATGACGATAAATATACATCATTCACTTCAATTTAGAATATATCATCAGATGGAACATTAATCATAAAATAAATTTTTACATATAAGTTGACATATACGTTCATTTATATGAATGGTATTGTAAATTAGAAACATATATATTTTAATATTTATGCATCAGTTTTCGTATCAATTTTTATTCCTCATGTGTTAATAGATGGAACCTTAATTGTATTTTTTAAACAATTTTAAAATTTTAGAGTTAAAATGAAAATTTGAAGGTGAGTTTAAAGGTATTTAATTTAATGTTATTAGTGTTATGCTATAATACTAATTTAATTATGTGGGTATGGATGATATGATATAATTAAACAACTACTTTAAGACTTAGTTAAGGCTAAGGTTATAATGTAGTGTAGGTTATGCATTATTAATTCAAACTTCCTATTTTCTTTGATGGTACATAATTCTTTTTTAATCATCATTATGCAGAGCTTAGATGTTGAATAATACATTCTTATTCTTATTTCAAAGTCATGAATGTATAATGTAACGACTATTTTTTTTTTGTATATATATATATAATAAAGTTGCTACTACATGTATGAGTTAATACATTTTTATTTGTGAGACCCAAGTAAATGAGGGATACATGAATGAATCGAGACCACATCTGAAAGAGAACAATCGTGAGGATAGAATAGCCAAGAAATGCTTAAAAATATTGCGAGTCACTATTTATACTAACAAAGTATTACTTTTTTTTTTTTTTTTGTGGCTCAGTTACACGAACTTTGTGGTTAAACATGTTTTGGATGACCTCTTGTAAATTTTTTTTAGATGCATGTGAGTGAGAATAAAACATATTGGAGGGAAATAATTATGTGATCGTGAATTATGGATCGATAATATATTTAATTGTTTTGAAAGAGTTGTAACTACTCCGTAGTTATGGTTACGATCTAGAGCTAGTCGTTGATTTTGTGGACTCAACCACCCACGTCTCCTTCCCAATCGTTGTACCTTCACACTTTCAATCACCCATCTCATTCTCGTTCCCATTTTTCAACTTACACACTCGTTTGAAGAGGTTTCAGAGAGGGAATGATGAGCACAAATTCGTGAGTTTTGAGTCACCAATGTTCTACGTTCGGGAATATTAGTGGGGTATAGTATCGTAAGTGCTTAGGAGTACTCTCAGTGTTGTTGTATGAGTAAACGATGATGGAATCAAGCTCGTAGCCATTGAAAAACTGGTCGGAGAAGAGAAGGGCTACGATTTTGAGTAGTAAAACGTAGAAGACGAAGTGAAGGTCGTGTCAGACTCGGTTTGGGTGACCCGTAACCAAGAGGTAATTTGGTAGCCCAAGGTGCGCACAATCCACGACCCAACGGCTCAACAACTCACAACCCAAGAAGATGTGTGTACGCCATCCTACGTAACGCCCCAACTCGGAACCCGTTTGTCAACCTAGAAATTTGCGTGGTAACCCGAGTCTGTCAGCTACACTCTGCGTACATGTGGAAGTCGTTACTCCAGTCGTAGCTTAATTGTCAACTTGGTTTGTACTCTCAACTTGGTTTGACAACTCAATTGTTCGGCATGGTGACTAAATGACTCCGCTTGTGAGAGTTTTAATTATTTGGAATGAAATCATTTTGATTGGGGAAGTTTAAGCTTAGAGATTTTTGTATATTCATAACTGTTGTAGAGTTTCCATATCATAGTTATTTAAATGTTTGAGAACCAAAACAAAAAATTTTAAAAAATTTAGAGACTAAAATGAAAAATAAACCAATTTTTAAGTTTACGCGTGAGAACAAGTTAGAAACCTTCATTGTTCCAATCACAATCATTATTCAAATCATAATCTTTCCTCGTCAATTTCTTCTCTTTTTGAGTTAGGTTTAAGGTAGGAAACACTCAAACAAAAATCTGAACTATTTTTCTTGAACGATTTTTCTTGAACGAAGTAAAGTAGCTTTGCTCTCTAATTTTATTCAATTATCTCTTTGATCGAACCAGGTCCTAAATAGTTAGGTGTTTGTTTGTTTTTTTCTAAGTCAAGTTTAAGGAAAGATTACTAAGATTGAACTATTTTCTTTTACTTGGTTCTCTTTCTTCATCAATTTTTTCTTCTTTTTTCTTCGAAGGTTTAAGTCAGCATTGAAAGATTAACGAATCGATATTTTCTGACTTGAACCTATTTACCTTATTTATTAACATGACCTTACTTTTAAAGATTACTCTCATCTTCGAACAAAGAAATGACATAGAAGAATCTTGTCATCCATAAAAAAGGCATGCTCAAACATAGTACACAGTATTAACACAAACTTTCATTCCCACTTTATTGGAAGCATATAAACATTCATATTACAATACTTCTCCACAATATTCTCCCACTCATGATGGCATAATATGAATGTTATTAGCAACATATATAGTAATTGCCAATTATTATTCCATAATATAGTAATACCACCATGCTTTAAGCAATAGCTCAAACGTCATTATTGTTTCCCATAAGGTGAGCCTCAATGTCTTTGGTAACATCAGCACAAAACTGAAACAAACTATGTGAATCTGGAATTCCTTCATGCAGCTTTTCATATTCCAAAGCATAGTGAATAACACTTCCCTCATCCTTTGGGATACATTGGACTTTAATTCTGAAGCTCTTGTAGAGCTCTAAAAGGTCTCCCTCTACCAATTTCCATGTCAATGAATTCTTCTCCTCATCAACATCTTCAATTATCTTCTTTCCCTTACGAACCTTTCCATCTAAAAGGTTTAATCCACAAAACGTTCGTTAAATATGATGTCGATCTAATATTAATTTCAAAAAATGTTGAATAAATTGTTAAACTTTCAAAAAATGAGGAGGAGATTCATGAACAAACCAAGAACATAGCACCAATTTTGGATAGTGCCAGCTTTGCCCCATTCACCATCTTGTAACTTGACATCTTGTATTTTATCTGAACAGATATTGGACATATAGTAAGGTCTTTGATGAAGTATTTCATGAAACTTTTCGGCTGAAGCCTTGATTTTTACATCGTTCTCTAACTTTCCATAGAGAGCCATGGTGTTGAGTTACTTGGAAGAACAAGTTACAAAGATAAAGATAGATATGTATTAAGAGGATATTTTTCCGTGAGAATTGTTAGAATATATCTTAGATATTTAGAAAGTTGTTAGTATAGATTTGATTAACCGTATATTTTATTTATTTACCAGATTTAATTAGATATATATTTTTCTATTTTTAGGTATTAGTTGATAGTTTGTATCCTATTTAAACGTGGTAAACCTGAATGAAGATCATATTTTTTCGATCCCAATTCTATTTCTATTTCTCATTCTTAATATGGTATCAGAGCACCGATCTTGGTGTTCTTAAATATCAAAATTTCCTTTATGGCGGAATCAGCCAAATCTAGCTTCAAAATTTCGGATGTTGATTTAACACATCCGTACTATATTCATCACTCTGATCAGCCAGGATATTCACTTGTTCCAATCAAATTAAATGGAGCAAATTATCAATCCTGGAGGAAATCAGTTATGCATGCTCTTATTGCCAAGAAGAAAATTGGCTTCATTGATGGCACAATTGAGGAACCGTCCCAAGATGCAAATTCAACCGAATTCGAACTCTGGAATCAGTGCAACAGTATGATAATATCTTGGTTAACTCATTCCGTTGAAGCAGATATCGCTAAAGGCATTATTCACGCCAAGACAGCTCATCAAGTGTGGGTTGATCTTCACGATCAATTCTCACAAAAGAATGCTCCAGCAATTTTTCAAATACAAAACTCGATAGCAACGATGTCACAAGGAACCATGGCACTGTCAACATATTTCACCAAGCTCAAAGCACTCTGGGATGAACTGGAAGCGTACCGCACACCATTTACCTGTAATCAACGTCAAATACATATTGATCAACGCGAAGAAGACAAGTTGATGCAATTGCTCATGGGGCTCAATCAGTCTTATAAAACGGTGAGATCTAACATATTGATGATGTCTCCATTACCTAATGTGAGGCAAGCCTATTCATTACTTGTACAAGAAGAGATGCAGCGTCAGGTAACTTCCGAACCTACTGAGAAAATCTCGATTGCATCAGTAGTGCAAAAGAAAACAATATATTCAAAATTCGCCAAGGACAAATTGTGTGAACACTGCAATAAAAGTGGTCATACAATTAATGAGTGTCGAATTCTTAAGTTTCACTGTAAGTTTTGTGATAGAAGGGGCCATACAGAAGATCGGTGTCGACAGAAAAATAATTCTGGAAGGACAAGACAAGACAATCAACACAATAACCGTGGATATCGATCATCTGCAAATATGGCCGATGTTTCACAGTTGAATACAGAAGAACAGTCACCTAATTCCATTCCAAATTTTTCTTCTAAGCAATTACGACAGATAGCACAAGCCTTATCTGCAATCAATCATCACCCTTCTGGTAATTCTGACAATCACATCAATGTTGCAGGTTTGTTTCCCATATCTACATTATCTATTAACTCTGCGAGTTCTAATTCATGGATTCTCGATAGTGGAGCTACGGATCATATAGTATCAAAATCTTCTGTTATGACTGAACCAAAGGCTGCCATCATGTCTACAATAAATTTGCCTAATGGAGAGACAGCACGTGTGTCACATACTGGCAATATTTCCCTTAGCCCTAACCTTAAATTAAACAACGTTTTATGTGTGCCTTCGTTCAATTTAAACCTAATGTCGATCAGCAAACTTACCAATAACTTGAAATGTTATGTCACCTTCTATCCTGATTCTTGTGTTATGCAGGACTTGGCTACGGGGAAGATGATTGGCTCGGGTAAACAATTTGGAGGTCTCTATCATATTTCTTCATCT